CGCATATGTTTTTGACAATTACATTATTATACAAGATTAATAATTTTAAATGCATTCGAAAATAAATTTGAATTTTTTTGAGCTGACGAAATTTCATCTTTGCAAAATATCGAGAATATCGCATGTATAAAACTATTTTAATATCGGAGTTAGCACGTTCAATTAACGTCTCTGTAATAATTGTCACAATGATTATTGTTGTTATCATTTAATACCACTAAATGTAGGTAATCAACGAGATATACTCAAAAAAAATAGTTTAAAATCAATCGTGTTATTGAAAATATTAATGTTTCGTGAAGTTTCGGTAATATTATCGACCTGCGTCATTGGCGTAGTTAAAAGTAGGAGGTTAAATGTACCATTACTTTTGATCCAATATTATTTTTTTTTTTTTTTTAACTCTCAATTCATTTCTATGACAAATAACTGTTTGTCGGACACCTTGCCCCTATCCGTAAACCATCTCTGAACCGAATAGTTACTTATTATAATATTTATATGTGAGTTTTACGTAATATGTATATAAAAATAAATCACTGCCATATTTTGCTAGATAAACTATCGCTTGTATAATATAGGTCACAACCCCTACGAGACCTCGAATGGAAGTGTAAAATGCGTTTTTATTTTTAAAATTATGCTGTTTTTTTTCTTCACATGCAATAAACGTGTTTTTATTTCATTTTTTTATTTTTTTTTTTTTTTCAAATACTATTATTTTATAGTATTTTTATCTCATGCCCGGAATGGAATTACCGTTTGAGCGTATGAATAATTTTATTATGGCGTGTCTAGACAAAAACATAGGTACAGCTATCCAGGGACTGAGACCTTAATGGTTTGACGGTTCTAGATAGGGTTTAGGTTTTTAAAATATCTTTTATGGTTTTAGGTTAAATTTCGGTTTTTTTAGGAAGTTCAAAATTTAGGTTTCGGTTTTAACCGATATCCGATATTTTATTTTGGTATATTATTTTTCAAACAACAAATGTTATATGAAGGTACAGCCCCCGGCCATGTAGGGAGGGTAGTAGGTCAACTCGGATATTTGTCCTAAGCCCCGTGCGAATTTTAGGTTCCCGTGCTTACGTTATAAAAACTATCTAAATAGTTAAATTGAAAAAAAATACATTTGTTAAGTTTTAATCTTTAGATAATATCTGTTTTTCTTTATTTTACTTTTTAATAAAATTCCATTAAAGATAATTAAGCATAATTTTTATTTACTTATCACAATAAAACAGCACTTTGGTTTCAATTTTTATTTAAAACGATATTTTAGAATAAAATACCTGAGAATATAAAAATTGTTGATTAGGCCATAATATCATATATAAAATACATGTAGGGGAAGTACTATTGTATTATACAACGAAAACATAGGGACACATATTAAAATACGTGTAACCTAATTGAAAAAAAAGGACAGAAGTGATTTTTTGCTTTGTCCTTTCATTTAGATGCCTACTGTGAAAGCTTATATACGATACGTGCGGTGTATGTAGTGTGTACTGTGTATCTTTGTAGGTTTATATTAAAAATTTCAAAAACCCAGTGTCGTTTTTAAAAAAAAAACTTTTAAATTTGTGAATATAAATTATTTGTTATTGATGTCATCGTGTAACATAAACATTAATATTACATAATATTATGTCATGGGTCGATTGACCGTCCTCGTCAGCCATCACGGCCGCCGACGTTGCCAGAATTAACATTATATAGATACTGTGCATAAAATATGATAATCCTTGTTTCTGAACAAATAAAAAATATACATTTAGTTTAAAGAGTAATTACTTTCTACCTACCTAATCGCTACTTTAAAACAGAAAAAATCACAAAAAACCGGTAATTTTTTAGTTTTGTATCGAGGTTTCGGTTTTGGTTTGAGTCTTTTATAAACGTAAAATACAGTTTACGGTTATTTTCGGTTTTTTAAATTACACAATGTTTTGGGCCCCATAACAGGTTCTTTTCGGTCCGGTCTCGGCCCCTGCAACTTACCAATCTTGCTTCCTCTTTCTCCTAAAAAATCGCCGATTAAAATCATTGATTATTCATTGCCTATACTAGTACGCCCCTCTAGGCGAGTTTTCACCAATCTCCTAAATGGACCACAGCCTATACGTAAACAGCAGCGTTAGAAAAAATAACCAACAATTTGTATCTAGTTAAAAGATAAAGTAAACGGCTATAAATCAATATACGGGTGCAATGTATTTTTATTTTTTTTTTAAATATATATATATTGTTTAAATTGTCAAGGTGACATGATGATATAAAATATAACATGATACAATGATAAGTCGACAAGATAATACAATAATGAATTCAAGTATTCTTTTAAGAAGGTAGACAGATAGGTAATTTAGATTTAAAATAAATTATTAAATACCCGTTCGGAATATTACATATAATAACGGCTATAAATAACCGCCGTACCAATCTTGCGTCCGTCTATTTTCCATTCGGGGCCGGTCAAACGTGAGTGGAGAAATGAGGAATATACGTCGCCGATTAGCCAATTTTTCTGAGACATTTACAATAATTTATATTGTATTGCATCTTTGGAGCAACTGCATTGTAACTGTCCTACAAGAAATCACGCAAATAATAATAGTTCTTACAAATCACACTTATCCCTCCCCATCCTGACAAAATTAATTTGACCATCGCTGTTCGCGCCTTTCCACCGAATATTTGAGTCGGGCTGGATAATTTTGGGGAACTATAATATCGTGTAACATACCCGCCATGTATCTGCGCACGCACTAAAAATAATTAAGAAAATAATATCGATAAATACGAGACAATAAGGATGTATCCAAATAAATGTCAAAACGCGGTTTTCTAACGGTTATACTTGAGACGAGGGTTCATACACCGGATTCGTGAGTATCGTTATTTTCGTACCCCGGAGCGGTATACACCCGTCATTTGTTTTCGGATTTGCCCGTTTGTCGGCAGGTTGCACGCACGTAGGTATTCTACGTGTCGTAATATCGTCACGGGAGAAATGCCATTTTTATCATACCGTAATATACCGACGACGCCTACCAGCCCACGATCTGTCATACACACTCGCGGACGCTGTAGCGCGTACCGTACCTACATTTATATCCGTCACCGGTTTTTTTTTTTTATTTTTTTTTATTAATAATGCCCTATACCGTCTGCGTGGAGTGAATATTGTTTTATAAACCTCGGCGCGGTCGTAGCGCCCTCGCGCATTAAAATATCGTGTAACGTGCAAAGTGCACACGTACCGTTTCGTTAGTTATCCGTTCGCTGTCAATTAGCCCGCAATCGTCGGTCATTTGCAGATTTCACAACAATATAATATTGTCATACTACCTATCGCAATATTTACACGTTTTAATTATAATCATTTTATTTTGTCGACCCCGCGGTCGAAAACAATACGAAATTATATCGAATAACGCACGAGCGTTTATGTCTGTGATTGGATTTCGTTTTTTTTTTTAATATTATTTTCCATTACGATTATAAATATAATATAGACCCTCCGCTGTCTATATCAATATAATTAATTTATGACGTCCACAAGTCATACATCACCATCGACGACAGTACGCATTTTTTTTTTTTTTAATTGCATTAATATATTTATTAACGCACTCCACTTAGGTACGCGTAGCCACTCGAAACTCATCACGACTTATTGCTATCATATTTCACCGGATTGTTAATTGAATTTAACTACCAAAAAATAAAAACGAAACGACACGTTATCCAAAATAAACTGATTTTCTCGTGAATATTTTACCATATTGCTCTTAACAATTGACTTCTCCACTTGACACGCTGTTCGACGTCGTCTATGTATATCAATATCAGCAGCCGTTTTCGTAGTATCGCAGTTTCTGAATGACGTGACAATAAACATTTCATTTTTAGCTTTTCTCCTTCCTTCCGCCCGCGTTCGTTCGTCAAAATCTTATCATACAGACACGTTACCTATCGTGACGATATTTCGCAGTATATTCCATCATTTTTATCCGAAAAAAACGCAATTTCAATTATTGTCCTCTAAACAAGCGTTATAATTTCTACAACCAAGAGCCACAACCGGGAACGAAAAGAACAGGTTCTGAATCCTGTTAATCGAAAAAGATAAAATTGTCAAATTCATTAATTCATTTTAATTCGTTGTATTGGAATGCATAAGTGTTTTATCCGATGATCATTATTGAAAAATACAAATTAAGAATATAGTTGCAATACAACGTTTTGCGGGCACAGTATTCAACATTCAGCACTATTATAATATTAGTCTATTAATGTTTACATAACTGGACATTCGACATATCACGAACCGTTCTAGAACCACCTAAAACCGTATGAAAGCCGGAACGAACCTCCTTAAAAAAAAAAAAAAAACGAAAAACAAAAAAAAACCTAATAATCGGAATCGTGACCGAACAACGCAAAACGTGTTCCGGTGTCCGGCCGCGGAACGGCGGAAACTCTCTGTCCTCGGTATACCGCCGTCCGTCAACCGTCCGATGCGTTTCGCGTCGTTTTCCACACTGTCGACGGACGCGAATCGCGTCGCGTCGTATTGCGTTTCCGAACGGCGACAACCGTACGGACGCAATGACGGCAAACGGACGCGCGGCGCGTGCGACGCCTCGAAATCCCGCCGCCAAAACACCGCCGGTGCGATTGTAACGCGGACGATATTATTATCGGTTTACAATACACGCGCGATCGATAACACGCGTAGAACGTGAGGTCGGCCCGGGAAATTAACTAATTTAGTGGCGGCCGGCGGCGTATTACGCGTATACGTATATACGCGTGGGCGCGATTGTACCGCTCCGCGGAACCAATAATTTCGTCACTTCGAATTAGCGATTATCGCTGCGCCGCCGAGCCTTCCCCTCCCCCTGTTGTTCAAATAAGTCTGTGTGTACACGTACATATACATATAGATATCAGAACGGCCGTTCGAACACTCGGTCAATTCGCGTTTATGTGTGTGTGTGTGTGTGTATATATACGCACGCACGCACGCACGCACACACACACACACACACACAAATCGCATTACCGTATAATATCGTAAACCTCAATCGAATCGCCGGAATTCGCGTTGTTCGTTCATCCGTATACGCGTATTAATCAATCCTCCCCGCTCTCTCGCGCTACGTGCACGCGTATTAACAATCGCGTGTGCACAATACGGTTTCGCGCTGTCTGAACCCCCGCGCTCATCGGTAAATCGTTATCGCGATAGTACGCGCGTGCCATCGGTAACGCGCCGCCGTCAACAAATATTGTCGCGGTGACACGCGCGATTGATAAAATCCGTTTTTTTTCGGCCGCGCTCCGGAACGGACGGAACGCACGTGCGTCGCCGGTATAAGTGACGGTTCGCGTCGGGGACGTTACCCGAACGGCCGGGCGTCCGCAAACTAGAAACCGTTAGCGTTTATAGCCGTCGGCGGTCCCGTCCCGCAGGCCCGCGAGCTACGAGGGCGGCGTGCGGCGTGAGGGAGAATACGATAGCGTTCGGGCCGTAAAATTGATACCGTCGTTGGACACGGCACTTCGCCGCGCAACAACACTCCGGGCGATTGCGCGCCTCTAGGTCGTAGGTCGTATTCAGACGGCGCGGAGCGTGACGGAGAAAAAACCGAACACCGTTTGATAGCTCGTGTCACACGGCTCTCGTTTCTCTCGCTCCACGTCATATTTGCGGCCCCGACGGACCGGGACGCGCCGCGTTAATCGATCGATTGAATATTACAGGGGTAGGCCGGTACGGGTGGTATCGGTTCGATCGGGTATACGCCGTTCTCCAAAACCGATATTCGACCGGCCGATACTTTCGATGTCTACGATGTCTCTGGACAATGAAAGCGTGCCTAAAATATTCTGGTTTTTGACCGGTATATCGGTCGTTAATTTCATTATGGAATCATCGCGGATCGAATGTCGTTCGGCCGCGAGCGATATACGAGATAATATGTGGCGACCAGCAATTTTTCCGGCCGGTGAGTGGGCATCGCATTATACATCGGTGACACCGGTTGTTTACCGTTGTGTTTAGCTCCCGTAAAATGAACAAACGCAAATACGATTAAAACACAACTGTAGTGCGGACTATCCGACGCCCTCGTGTTCGGACCATCCGCGAGTGTTGCCCGACAGAAAATGAAAAACGGGACGCAACACTTGCTTTGCCAAAACGGCGAAGCGTCGATTGGCGATAACGGGCAACGCCCGGAAAAGCCTGTGCCGTTGTTAATCGTCACATTTCCTATAATAATTCTATCGCTACAAATGTGTGTAACGCGATTATTGGTATATTATTTAAATTATTGTAACATGGCGCGGCGACTCTCGGTTTCGCGAGAAGCAAAACGACAATGAGGCGGTAAATTTGATTTTTCCAAAACGGCTACGGTTTTCGGTAGTTATTAATGGATTACAAACGGCAAACGGCGGCGTTATTATTATTGCGTATAACAATTACGCCGTTCTCGGCGGGGCGGCTGTGGTAGTTTCGCACCGCGATCGCGTACAGAGGCCCGCGAGATTTAAAACGGAAAACGCCCGTCCCTCGGGTAGGTGATGACGAGCGTTGCGTTCGTTATTGAAACCTTTGGGAATTTCGGCCGCAGTCGGGGAGTGCGGGACTGCGACGGGTGACGGGGTTCCGTTTAGACGGCCGAAACGGTGAAAACGCTCGCGCGTCGCCATATCGCACGGGTTTTCGCTCGAGCCGCGCGCGACGCGCTACGGTCGACCGGTCGGCCGACGCCGCGAAGTCGCGGCTCGACTCGGCCGTTTCCGGTTCGCTCGGGAAACTCGCCGGACGGAATTGGATTTCCGTGCGTTACAGCCCGGAAGCCAACGGGGCGCGTACGATTCGGCGATACGGACGCCGTTACGCCGAACGATAATTATAACACCGCGGTGTCACTGCCTAGGAGCGGTTTCGTATCGTATCGGGTTCGGCGTACAGGCGGGCGACGGCGTTCGCACGGGCCGGAGGATCTCGTTTACGAGACGCGCGCGTATCGGGTGCGACACGGCGAGCGACGGGTCTCGGTAGTCGCGTGCGCAACGGTCGCGTGCGACCGGAGTGTCGCTGTGTGCCGTCGCGGACCGCGCTGCCCGAATTACATTGTCCGCTCCCCCCCGCCGGTCGCGCCCGCGACATTCGAACGTCGCGTGCCGGCCGGCATTCCGACCGGCGCGTATAAATAACGGTATGTGATGTGGGGACATTTTTCGTATTTTTTTTTTCCGGCGTTCTTCTTTTCCTCTCCCGTATTCCTTTTTAATCCGCACAAAAGCGTAGCGTTAGCGTTTCCCCGGGCTTTCCCTCTCCGGTTTTCGTTCGGTAATAACGCCAAGGTACTCCGGTACACAGAACGGTAATATCAACCCGCTACGCCCACGCGTACAGCGTAAGTGTGCATAGTGTCTACGCGGGTTATCGGGCGCACCGTCGCTCCGACACCGGCCATTCGGCGTTTTCTAAAAACTCCCCACACAGATATTTATTCTATTGTTTAATGACGATTTTCCGAATTTGCGTGGCATCGGCTCTCGCGTTAAACAGCGGGGGGGCTCAGAGCGATTCAGCCCCGGCCCAGGATTAAAAAATGATATACCTATGCATATGGGCTTAATTACTTAGCGTATACTAGAGCGAAATTTGTATACTTGATAACGCGTTAACCGTTAATCCAAAATTTCGTCATACAAATCGCATACACCTCTCTAATTTAGATATACCCACTATGCCTGTTTAAAAACTTAGTTGTCACATGTTCGCGACGGTCCTCTGAAATTTAATGAATTCTCGTCATTTCGGTCATTATGGAACGGCCGAAGTACGGTTTTGTTTTCCAATTTTTTTTTTTTTTTTTATAAGAGCGTTATTCAATTACAAAACAATAATAATAATAATAATATAATATCGACGTTAGCGTATATTTTTTTCTTTCGTTTTCTTCTTCTGCCGATATCGGAAAAATAATGAGAAAACGTAAGAAAAAAAAAAACGTAAACATTATACAATATACATCTTCCGAACGAACCGCCGTCGTTGCAACGGGATCGTTTTTCTTCATTAAAAAAATATTCATGAAACTATAAGCCACTACACCGAAACGCATTATAAATCTTTGAGAGTATAATATATTATTCTATACGTATACATAAAACGGTATAATTAATATTCCCGTCGTGGTCTGAAACATAACATTAAAAATATTATTATAATATAACGAAATAAAAAAAAAAAAAAAATATTCGTAATAAATATATATTATAATGTATATTGTTTTACAATGAGAAATAATTTTCAATTTTCTTCTTTTTTTCACTCAGATAACCGATCGAATTTTAATCATATTGTGTCAAAAAAAATGTCATATAATAGATTTTGAATGACTGTTATTCACTACCTATGTTACGTAAATGATGTCCTGTCCGGCGGCGTCACTGCATGCAAACAGATTTTATCTAACAAATCGTTTAAAAAACCGAAATGAATTTATATTTTTGTTGATTTAACCCCGTTTACGCTATCGCTTCTATTACAGTAAACTGTTTTTGTATTTCTCGAAAACGCTCCAATTTTGTTCGTTTCATACTTGAATATTGAATATTGGATTTTCGTCCGATATAACATTATTTGAACAATTTTTCAACATTTTTTAAAAAAAATATTTTGCGTTTTTTTTCACTCTTTAGGTTAGTCTAATACTTTTCGAACTTTGTGACTGTAATTCATGTGTCACATAAAGTGACAGAAGCTGATAATATTATTAAAACCATAGCATTGATGAAATACAGATACTTTGTATGAATTGTATAAAATACTAAAGAATATAAGTTTTCTACCAAAATTTAAAGTCTCTAAGAATATTGTTAACTTAATAACAACAAAAAACAAAAATGAAATTAATGTATCCATTATTTCCGTAAACTTGTTTTTACTTTTTTTTTTTCCAGTTATACTCAATTATAAAAAAAAATACACCGAAAATAAGAAATAACTGTTTTACTAACAACAAATGTTCAACAAAAAAGGTCTCTTGGCATTTTTCTATTTAAGCAATATTTCTATTTCTGAGAGAAAACATAATACTCACAAATTGAAAACGATGACATCGACAACACCGCGGTGTGTTATGAATATTTATTCACTTTTCCGGTAATTTTTTTTCTAGTTTATCTCAAATATTATGAAAACTTCTAGAAAAATCAAAAAGTAATATCCTCAATTGATAAACTAGATCCAAAATACGATACAAATTTTCTTTTGACTTATTTTTCAATTTTTACTATGTTTCTATATATCATTAACAAATGGACGATGCTTATTGAAAAAGAAATCACCATATATTATAGAGTCAGAAAAGATAGCGTTAAAGGTATATCTCTCTGACTCTATATCGTATTAATAACCAATGGTCAGAGTAGTAAGTAGGCGCTGTCAGTATTATTATTTATTTTTTTATAACCGAGTTATTGATCAACGGTGAAATTGAATGTGAATACGATAATTTTTCTGTGCGTTATGGTCACACTGCATTTCTGGTTCACTTTACTGGCAAGTCATAAAAACTATCGATGAGATACGAAACGGCGTTTCTCTATGGGCTTTATACGTAATTTAATATCAAAAAAAAAAAAAAATGTTATTTTTAAAACTCCATTATGTGTTTTAATATTATTGTACCTTCGTAGTAATATATTTAACGTTTCAGTTTATTACCATACATTCAATAAAATTGTATATTCTAAATAATAGCTAACGTGAATTTATCGAGTAACTATTAAATACAGTAACTACTGCGTCACTATTGACGTTGTAAATTTATTAGGGTGTGGTCCATGCCAACATATTAGTGTGTTTATAATGCTCCAATAAAATGAAATTATTAACAATTTATTTGAACATACGATTTTGCCGCAATGTTCAAAAACATTTATAATACTTTTAAAAGAGTATTGTACAGAATTTATTATATTTTAGTACCTATAGTAGGTATTATACAAAATAGAATGCATAGAA